CGATGCAACGGAAGTTAAGGTTGTTTCTTGTTTTTTTAATATTTTTGTTAAAATTTCCCACTCAGTTTTTGAAAATTCGTATATTCGTTTCATACACCGAAATTATGGGCCTACCCTTTCAATTTTGCTAAGATTGAGAATGAAATCAAAAAATTCTAATCTGTTTTAATTTTAAATATTCACAAGACAGATTGAATGTCCTGTTTTTCATATGTTTTGAAGTCTTGAATAAGGCCATTGTGTGATTATAATTAATTATAATAATTAAATTTCGTTCGACTTTTCAAAGTGGTTAGCGGAATGAGCGAAGTCTTTTTCTTATTCCCTGGATATTATTATTATTTTTTAATTCAAACTCAGCAAATTGTCCTAGAAATTTATCCGATTCCAAATATAATAAAATTGCGAAATGTGCTTTTATTTTTATTTCTGAGTCAGTCGAACATTCTACAAAGACGCACCCGCGTAACGACTAGAACCATATTTCAACTTGCAGCCAGATGCGCTATCGCAAAGCCCACGCCATCATAAGAACCACAGTCATACAAAATAGAGCGTTACTTTTGAATAAACCAACGACTGTATATACATACTTCTATGCAAATGGCGACAACTTCCACGAATTGAGATTTTTGTCATGCAGCCAAACGCACCGCCACTCAGCCACTTGTCCGCCAACCCATCTCAGCTAGCAGCTTAAGAACTCTATGCTCGAAATCACGCAATTCCATTTCCATTTAATTAAGCCAGAGAAATATGCAAAACAGCTTGCTGCTTCAAAAGTTGTTGCACCTTTTGGTCTTTTCCTTCTGTTGGTGTCTTGCCGCAGACGCCACCATTTCCACCAACAAAAAAGACAACTTCTGAGCCGCCGTAGTTGCCGTCTCAAGCTTTTGCTGCATTTCATATAAATCAATGTGAGATATCAAACAGTTGACACATGTTTGTACATGCTTCCACATACAGATATGAAGGTGTGTTACTTCTTGGCTTTGCTATTGCTAGCCTAGTGACTTGAAAGTGCTCATCAAATCTACCGTTTGATAGTAGGTAAGCAGATTACTAGTCAAGGGCTGTTGCGGAATGCTGGTCACGTGCACGAATCGAAGCAGAAATGCTCGTAAATGTCACATGAAAATTGCATACGAAGTGGCGCAATCACGTTGACGATGAGCATGTGCAGACAGCACACACACTCGCACCCATGCATTTCTTAGAATGGCTGAGAACAAATACCTGATCAAATAGTAGACAATTCTTGTTTCGACTCGCATTCTTTTAAGCACCGGTTGAATTGCCCGTTTGCTGTTTGGTGCTAGGCGTTGCCGGCAGATCCACCTGCCGTACAGTGGCGGTCGTTGGACTTATAATGGTGTGCCAATGTGTTTTTATAACATACTGATGTGTGTCAGTATTTGTAAAGTTTAATTTTATTATTTTGTACAGTTTCTTAATTTGGCTTTTGCTATTTATGTATCTAATATAAAGTTATGCTGCTTTGTAGCGTTTCTGTAGTGCTTGAGGTTTTGTTTTATTTAAATCAAAGCATTGCATACATTTAGGATGACTTTGTTTGTAGCAAATGTCTGTTCGGTGCACTTTACAGTCAGGCTTTACAGTTAACACTTGGAAACAAAAACAATGTTTATAAGTAAAATTTTTAATGATAATAATAATAATAATAATAATAATAATGATAATAGCAGAATAGAAAATACTATCAAATTCTAATAAAATATGTTAAACACCAAATATTGTAATTTTGAATTAGAAATTTTGTTACATTTTTCTAGAGTAATAAATATAAAATGTGCAAATTTGGTTGTTAAATTCTTACAACGTTCTTTTATTCTATATCTATTAAATTACAGCAGTCTTTTCGATTTGCATCAGTTGTTTGTTCGATTCGTCACTCTCTATAGTATGACCCCATAGGGTTGCTTTTAAAAATGTGGTTTTCATGAAGAAATAAAACGGGTTTGCCGTTATTTTTAAAATGATTTCGGGCAAGTTTCCGCCGCAGCTGACTCGATTAAATTCAGACCGAGAGTGGTGTTAAATCGCACGAGCACACCAAAGAGTTACTTTTGATTTTGGATGTAACGGTGTCTTAGCAACAGTTTGTAGATTATAAAAACTCCAAATGCGAAACTTTTGTTTATTAACGTACCCATTCAATCAAAAGTGAGCTTCATCGTTGAACAAAATTTTCTTGTGATAATCGGGATCGGTGGCCATCTCGTTTCGGCTGCATTCACAGAACGTGCGCCTTGCTTGGTGGTCGTTTGGCTTCAATTATTGAACAAGTTGGATTTTGTAAGCCCGCAAACCAAGATCCTTCGACAAAATATTTTATAAAGTGGATGGGCATAGCTCCAATCGTTGCAGTCGATTGGGGATGGACACCTTCGGGTCTTCTCTGATACTCTGCTCTACAACACCAATATCGTCTTCGGTGCATACTGTACGACATCTCTGAGGATGTGAATTACACACTAGACTAAACGTGGTGGGAAACAGTTCCATGGTTCCTCGAATTACCGACTCTGCAAGCGATTATGTTGACCGAGTATTGGACGCAGCACGCGATGCGTTGCGCAAACCGAACCATTATTTTGGTAATAAATTTGCACGATTTGCAAACAATGTTCCGAATTAAGTGTATTTATTATAAAATGGCAAACTAAACTGAGTATAAATCAAGTAACAGTAGCCAAAACGACCAACTCGGAAAAATGTATTGCCTCATTGAAAACCACATGTCTAAAAACACCCTTTATAAATGATTAGGGTGACGAGCTGAGCCGATTTAGACATGGCCGGCTATCTGTCTGTATATACATAAACTAGGACCTTAGTTTTTGAAATATCGATATGAAAAGTTGCACATTTCTTTCCTCCTCAATAAGCTGCTCATTTGTCGGAACCGCAGATATCGGACCACTATACAAACTGATCAATTGATATCAAGTTTTTGAATGAGAAAATTTTTTCTTTGACAAATTGTGTATTGGATGACTATAGCACTTAGGTTTCACACAAATTGACCGATGAAAATCAGGTTCTCTTGTGAAAACTTCTTGGATTGTGAAGGGTGTTATATCTTCAGTGCAAACGAAGTTAATGTTTTTTTCTGGTTCATTTTTCTATACTATGAATAATTTCTATTCTATTATATGACTTAAAAGAAAACACTACCCTCGTGGAACGAAATCTTCCACTTCAGTAACTTCTATATACCAATTATAACTCACTTCGGTATATTAAGTTTGCAATGAAGTTTATAACACCCAGAAGAAAGTAAATATATAGCTCATTTGTCAGCATCGCCGATATCGGACCAATGTATCATAAAGCTACTATACAAACTGAATAATCAAAATCAAGATTCATTTCCTTTTATCCACTTTTTGCTATAAGTAATGGATCTGTGAAGTTTATTACAGCTTCAGTGCAGGCGAAGTTAAAGTATTCCTTGTTTTTATTGATAATGGAATGGTATGAAATTCAGCTGTCAGTAGGCGGGACATCACATATTATCAATTTAACTCTGTTGAACTCAAAATATAATATAATACGAATAACCATCATCTACGTTGATATTTTGTATCAACCACAACAAATTGAGCATGCGCGTGTTCAACACTGAGTGACAGCGAAGCTGGCACGCGTTGTTATTAATAAGTCCATCATAGAAGTAAGTTAAGTAAATCATCATAAGGTCTCATTAAAGTGCAATAAACTATATTTGACACCTCAAAACTATAACATGAAGCCTCGAAATCTTATACTGTTATTCACCTGTATATGTGTGTGTATTTTGTATTATGCGCTGATGCTTCCAATGGCAGATGACATATCAATGACGCGGTATGGGCGAGCCAATGAAGTAGTAAAATAAATAAACCACAAGTGCTAAAAATCCCATTTGGACGAAACCCCAAGTCGCCCAAAGCCACATAATCTATAAATGTATGCAAACATATTTACATACAAATATATTTATACACATATTTACATAATATTATTTAACAGTACATGCGCATGTTCATTGAATTTATTAAATGGCGCGATCATTGTCAACATTATCACTATATTTACATACTGACACACTTGCTAGTAGCTTTGGCCTTTTACGTATAGTGATGACAAAATGACAACAAAAACAAATCACATATGCACGCGAGCTATTTAAAAGTAATTTGGTGAGTGAGCGTCGCACTTATCAATGGAATGCCGGTGTAGCGATTAAGGCATAAACCCGAGTAATCGTTTAATAAACATGCATATGTACGTACATATGTACATATACAATATATTTGTATTATTGTAAATATTTATTAATATTTTTTATACTGTTTATTGTTTTTGCATGGTACTACAAGGACAGTTTTTGATGGCAATTTAATAGTTATCCAAAAATATAAATTCGAGGAAATTTTTGAGTGAAGCTGCTAGTGCTTCACACACCTACATATTTATATTATTATAATCAAGGTTTAAAAAATTAACATATACTTGTCTTTATTCGAGTTATTTTATCTTCTGGTTATTTTATCTTGTAGTACTCGGAATTTAAAAATTTTTTTACTTATGTATAAAGTGTGTACTCATATCTTTTCTCCTTCAGCAAATTCGAGGTACTTTTAAACCCTATATACTATGAGGTATATATAATTTTCTGTAGCAAATGAGCTCTCCACCACACCCACAGGCCTGGCCCTTCTACTTTATACGAAAATTATTACTCCCTTTACTAAAAAACTTCCTCTGACTGAATACTCAACATTTTATTTTCAGCAGTTTCAAAAGAAAAAAAAATTATATATAAACAATTTTTTTAATATCTGATCCCAATATTTGACAAGCTATTTTTGTCAAAACTAAAGTCTCCTTGGTAATCAAACGAAATTACCTGAAATTCAAAAGAAAAATTAATATATTTTTTGAACTTCCCTGTGTAGCTATTCGTTTTCGTTTCAAATTAAAACTACAACACATACGAGTATACATTTTTAAATTCAAACTTTATTTATTCACATAATTTTATTTATCATTAAATGGCAGTATTATCGTCTCATTATTTATTTACTTAAAGTTATGCAACTATTGACTTATGGTTTATTAACCTTTTCGTTTCTAATTAACTTAGCTAAATGTAATACTTATTGTTTACAACTTATTTCATTACTTCCGCTTTTATTTGTGCATTACTTGCTTAGTTTCTGTTTTTATTACTTTTAGTTTTTAAGCAAATAATTATCGTTCAAAGTATTTCCTGGCTTTAAGCTGGCGGCACTGGCAAGTGATCGCCCTGTGGTTGGAAGCCATTCTCATCGGCTACATAGCGCAGTGTGATGATGTTGCCCTCGGGATCGGAGTACGAGTACAAGCCGGTCTGCACCAAAACCAACTCTTCGTGTTCCTCAATCACCTGACCATCGGTGGATTCCTGTTTTGGCACAACGATTTTCTTCAGATATCCAGCATTTTCGACTTTAATGCCATTGGAGGTCTCGTAACTAGACGTGAGAGGAAAGGAGTAAAAGTTGAATGTTATATATAAATTTACACATAGCAATGTCTTTATGTAAGACTTCTATAAATTTTGTTCTAACATCACCAGCCGAATGATTTTTCAATAGTACTTGTAACAGACTAATTTTAAAAGTCTTGTTTTATTTCACTATTATTATTTTGAACTTTTTACTTGTAATTTATTGGTTTTATAAGAAGTAAGCTCGAAAAAAAAGTTCTGAATAGAGGGAAGGTATTGAGTATATTAGTTATAGTTTTAAAGCGCTAGCAAAGAGAGGGAAAACTTTTATTACTAGTCAAGTTCAGAAAACTTTGTAAATGAATATGAAAAGCCGTTGTGCGAATATTATTATTCTTAGTGCTAATAACTTTGCTAAAGCTTTCATAAATGACGTACTTCTTTTGTGTTCTGAACCAATTTTAAAAGCGGTACTTCTTTTTATATAATGTCGTTTGTGTTTCTTCTTCTATTTATGTTTTTTAGGGGCTAGAGTCTTGATTTAAGATCTACAAAGGGAAGAGCTAGGTTGTTTTTAAAGCAGTACACTTGTGTGGCAAACCTACTGCTTAATAGGGGTCTATTTTGATTTCAAAATCAAATATTTTGATTAGTGCGGGTCCAGAATTTCTTTCTAGGTTTTCTTTTCAAAATATTTTTAATATTGAGGTTGCTTCGTAAATTATTCTGAATTTTAATTAAAATCTCCGATTTGGAAGGGGATCCTCCGCGTGGATCCGCTACTGATTTTAATGTAGCAGAGTACTGGGGTTAAACCTATGTCTTATGAATTGGTACTGCTCACCTCAAAGCACCAAACCAAGACTGTCTTTGAATTAAATTTCTTTATAGAAATTAAATATGATAATTAAATTATATATGTATTAGCGAAAAACTATTTTAATAGAGATTTAATAAACGCTGGAACTTATTAGCTAATTATTAAATATACATCTTTTTTCGTACAAAAATTAATATTTAAAGAAAACTTTTTCTAAAATATAAAATATATAAATTCTAAGTGTTATTGCATATTACTAATGGATCAAAGAAGAGTTTTTTGACAATGCCATTTTTTCCGAAAAAATTTTATAAAAAATTCGAAAAAAAATTGATTTCAAGTATTTTAGAAAAAATACCCAGATTTGAGATATTTTTTAATATATATGTACATATACCCAAAATTGCCCTTTTTTAAGAAAATATTTATGTGTAAATACATAAAGAATTATAATCATGCTTATTAATTTACGCGATATATTTTGTTTTAATTTACACAGTTACTCGAACATTTGTGGTACAAGTTGTGATTTATAATAGAGTTATAGAAAGTTAAAAGATTTTTAAATTTTTCAAAATACCTAACTTAGCTTGAGTCGACTTTTGCTGTTGTAAAATATTATCACAGATATATTTGCTAATAAAATAATGATGGAATTTGTTAAATAAATAATTATGGAATATTAGGCTAGTTTTCAAGTTTTCTAGAGCTGAAGTAAGACTAAATCGAATAAATAAAATTTTCGGAATTAATAACTTTAATTTTTCAAAGAGCTACAAAAATACTGACACATTTGTAAATATGTATTCATTTCACGATATTGAAAAAAATATCAATAATTAAGCCGACGCATTGTTTAAAATTTTTTAGTCAGAATTTAGCGCAATACAATGTTAGCATTTTTTGATATATTTATTTATTTGTAATTTATCAATTTAATTCAATTGTTTATATTTTGAGAATATTAATCAATGTTTGAAATGTAATTACTTTTTTGGTATTCAAAACTTGATTATATGGTATATATTATTGTTAGTATTAAAATAATTTCAATTCTTCTAAGAGCTGTCAAAAAAAGTTTAAGTTAATTGTATTAGGGAATGTTAAGCTTTTTTATAGCACAAAAAGCAATAAATTAAAATTGGAATTTTGAGAAATAAGATTGTTGTTTTCAATCTTCAGAGAAACATTTTTGTGTGCTATAATAAAATGCAATTAAGAAATTGTGCCTTTAAAATGATTTCAATTCTTTTGAATTTTATGGTCATAACATTCGTCAACCATTTAAGAAATCACACACACCTGTTGTTATAGCTACCATCTGGATTGGTGACATCGACTTGTTTGAGTATTGTGGCCGGTGTTGTTGTTGTGGTAACTGCGGCACGCGCAGCGGATTCCTCCTCAGCAGGACGCGCCAAGACAATAGCAAATAGAACCGCCGACAACAAAACGCTGGCAAACTTGTACATTTTTACAATATATTGTATATATATTTTTTTATTTCGCTAAAAGTTTCAGCGCGAAGAACACTTCGTTTCGATAGTTTAAATGCGAAAATTTAACTTTCTGTAATTTACTTTCACAACTGAGTTGATGATATCCTTTTGTTCCGTGTGACGGTGAGCAATTTTGTAATCCACTTGAATGTCGGAAATGCTATTTAACAACTGGCTGATAGGTACTTAACAGCAGCGCCTTTTTATATACGAAAAGTTTCTTGAAGAATCGCCATAATGCTTGTGAAGTACAGCGAAGAATCGCGGTGAATAATGAGAAAAAATAGCGAAAAAAGCGAAGCGGACTCCAATTACCGGCAATGCGTACTGTATGTATGTATGTACTTACGAGTATTATATGTATATGTAGTGGTGTGGGTGACTGCGTGCGTGAGTGCCGGTGAGACAAGGGAAAGATGGGCGCGATAGATAAGAGATATGATGACTACCACTACCACGAGAGACAAATCTAAAATGTGTATTAGCATGTGTGTGTGTATGTGTGTAAATGGCACTAACCGCAAAGGTAAATATTCGCGAACAGCAAATAAATTTTATTTATGTTTGCTTGTGTGGCAAAATAGTACTGTACTCGCGAACATGTACGAAAGCTCAGCACAATTTACACAATTTAAATAATTTAGTTTATTTTTGTTTTCCTTAACTTTATTTCGATCGCGCTGTTTTCTGTGAACTACTCCATTTTCGAACGAAAGTGTTGAAAACTCAGAAATGATGAGTAACCCTAGGCTCAATTACAATAACAATCATGAACATACAAATTGTGATTAGTCGAAATTGTGTTCGTCATTCACCCGATAAAGTGATGAAATTTCTTTTGTTTCGATTGTTATTATAAAGTCCATCGTTTGCTGGACTTACGAAAATGCGTTACGTGCATAAATGTTGATTAAAAAACCGTTGTTCAATTCATTAAACAATTTTTGATAAAAGGCTGGCCTGCCTGAATTGGCTTCAGTTCGGAAGCAAGCATATGATTTGCTATTTTTTGGGTGGAATAAGCCGTCAAGGTGTTTCCTATGTATGGTATTGATAAATAACAGTGCTTGATTATATTACGTAAATTAGATGATCTGCGCTATTGTATACCGTTTACAGAATGTGGGTCATAAGTGTACAATTTTCATTATTTTCAATTTGCAAAAGAGCAGTTTATAATTTGTTTCATATGAATATGTATGTAGTATGTTTTCAATTACACACAAGACGATACGATTACAAAAAAATCTTTTTTTTTTAGTTGTATATTTTAATAAAATATCTTTTTTATTGATTTGGCCACTTCTTGATTTAGAGATTTTAAAAATATATTAGTGTTAATATACAGATACCAATTTTTTCCCACACAAATTTTTAAGAACTTAACCCATAAAGATTTTTCTTCATTTCGCTTTTTATATATATTTTCATTGGTTTTACTTTTTTCTTGGTAATGGTTACATAAGTTTATCTCCGTTTATATCAATTTATTAACTGTTTTAAATATTCCACTTATAGCGAGTTATTTTTCAAGAACACGATACCTAGAACACAAACCGAAAGGTGGAAAGGCATAAGGTTAATAAAGAAACGATTTATCTATATGGAGTCCCAACGCAATAAAGAACAAGAAAAAATGTTAATTTCGGTTGCACAGAAGCAAGAATATTCTTCACCAATAAAAAAATATAACATACAAGAAGTTTATTCTGATTGTTCAGTTTGTATGGCAGCTACACATGTGCTATAGTAGTCTGACATCGGCGGTTCCGATAAATAAGCAGCTTCTTGAATAGAAAAGGATGTGTGTAAAATTTTAGAGCGATAACTCAAGAACTAAGAGGCTTTGCGTATATACAGACAGACGGACGGACGGACAGAGGGACATGGCTCAATCGAATCAGCTCGTCATGCTAATCGTTTATATAAATATATATTTTATAGAGTCTGTGACGGTATAAAAATGGTATTGAAAAGTTGGAAAATTTTTATAATAAGCCCTCGATGGTAACTATGTTGAATAATAAAGTCAAATACTTAGTAAAAGTACTTTTCTTTAAAACGATGTGAACATTTCGTCACACCATGTCGTATATCAATTCGTTAAACCTGGAAAGAGGGTTGCATTTTAACATTTAAATATTTTGTTTTGTTTTGTAATCCCAAAAATCTTAATTAAAAATAATTTTAAAATTTCTAATCACAAATGAAAAATGAAAAATAAAATGTGGGTGTCGAAAGGTATTCTTCTACGTATCACCATTAATTTACGTCTATGCACTGTCCTCTGTCACTTCCAAATATAGCGCTAATACAAAATATTAATTTTTAAATGACAAGAATTCTATAGTGATATGTATGTATATGTATGTAAATAATGCAAAACAATTTTTCAATGTTGTCAATTAGCAATTCACTTCAAATATCAGCTACATATATATATTTTATATAATATTTATATATAAGCTGGAAGCTGTATGCGTGTGGGATATTCCTCGGACGTCAACTCTACTCGCGCAATTAAGAAAAAACGGTTATTAGGTGAAAAAATTATGAATTCTTTACTAATTGGATATGTAAATCACTTTCGCTTTCAACCTCATACCTTAACCCTTATGTACCATATATATGCAATTAAGTATATAACAGCTATAAATCAGGGAATGTTTGTAAGTGACTGCAACAGTCATTACGTACTAAAGAATCGTTTCGAAACTGAAGCAGATGCGTCAAAAATAAATATAAACATCACAATTATAGCACTAACACTCATAGATGCATATTGCGGTAGTAAATACTGTAGTTTAAATAGAGTAGCACGAATTCGTCGACGCACTCGCCAACTGACCGATCGCTTGTCTAAATGTCTGCCACATGCTCGAGAGTAATACTAAATTGATTAGCGTATAGTTTTTTGTTATTTGTTTTTACAAAAATTAGCACTTAGAGCTTCGACTAAAACGATATAACAATATTTGTTGCTGTTACTACATTTAACATATATATATATATATATATACTTGTATGTATAAAAGCATGTGCGAAAGATTCAAATGTTGACGCCTAGGTCCCATTAGTTTTACAATCGTGGCATATACTCGTATTAGCCAAGTTAAACTCACTTATTACCATCATAATTTTTAGTTAACTTCTCTATACACTTAAAATATAGTTAGATATATATATATATCTATATATGTATATATAAAAGCATATGCGTAGAGTATTTGATGCAGAAATTATGCATACAATGGAGTGCAATCGGCTATTGGTAGTTCATAATTGATTATTAACGTTAACATTTTTAAATTAAAATTATTGCTAATATTAATGATCTAGAGCGCTAAAAAATATGTATGAGTATATATCGGTACAAATAACGATATTAATAAAAAATGAAAAACGAAAACTTAGCAGAACACTCATTTTTTTCTTTCTATTGTTTATCTTAGATATATAGAAGTTTTGATCTCAGATATACCCAAAAAATCCAATTTGTTTCAAATATTTTCTTTTTTTCGTTAACTTTGAGGTAATTTCATATTGCTTCTCTCATAGAAATCCTCGTCCCTATTGGCGAAAAACTGGGACAGTCCATTTTCACAAGCTTCTCTTTAGGCAAATGTTTTACGAGCAAAATTACTCGTCATAGTCAGAAAAAGGTAGTAATCACTTGGTTTCAGGTCCGAACTATAAAGTGGATGTATAAGAATCGCCCAACCAAACTCCCGGAGCTTTTGGCGAGTCACTATCGATGAGTGTGTCCTGTTGTTGTCCTGATAAAGCACCATTATTCTCTTAACCACTTGTTGGCGATTGCTGCCTTGAGACAGTACAGGTTCGATTTAAGAGTTTGGCTGTAAGGAAGCAGCTCGAACCTTTCGCCGGTTTCCTGCAATTCGATCACGGTCCAATTTTTATCACCACTAACCAATATTGGTTCGATTTTGTTGCGATTTAGCAACAATTTTTAGATTGAAGTTCAGTCTATGAGGCGTTTTTTTGTTAACTCGTTTTGCACATACACATCGAGCTTCTTTTTATATCCAGCCATATTTAAATGGTTCCAAACAGTCTTTTTGTAATGCTTAGGTTCTTGGCAATCGGAACAGTGCTTAAGTATTCCAATTATTTTATCGAGAGCGTGGTGCCTCTTTGAGGTTAAAATTACCGGAACAGAGTGAAATGTAAGATGTCCATATTCCCTTGTAACTGAACATTGCTGATAGGTATGTATTGGATAAGCTAAATTGTCAAAGTTGCAGCAGGAAGATGGCGTGGAAATATCTACACACTTTCTTCTCCATTGTCTAGATTTCGATAGACATCAAATATGTGACATGTAATTACAAAGCGCCAGTATTATTAGTGGGATCCTATCTATAGCAAATTGAGAGTCATTTACGAAAGTCGCTAAAAAGGACGAGAAAAGTCAGAGAAGTTTGTTTACGTTGCCAACAATACCGAAATTTTATTATTATCAAATGCATTCTCATTTTGTTGGCTAAATAAATTTAGAGCAGGTGCAACTAATTTGTTCGTTGATTATTGAAGGCGGCATGAAAACCAAGACTTTTGTTTAATATCCAATAGAAATTTACCGCTGAACTAACAGCATAGTACTGAACCAGGCAGATTTTTGGCCGAAAATAATAGGCACATCATTTGTAAATGTGAAATTCCGGCACTCTATACCAGCGCGCCCCCCTGTAATTATATTCAAGGGCAGAGTTTTTTACTAATAATCTTCTGAGAAAAGGTGGAATCAATTATAATTGACATTGTTCGTCAGATACGGGAGTTACGGAAGATTATTAGTAAAAAAAAGTGCAGCTTTCTTAATAAACAAACTGAAATACATTTTAATAGAATATTGGTCTATTCAGGTCTACTTGAAGTGTGTTCCACGCTGTGTTAACACAATAAAGTTTTTTTAAGGAAAATTAACACATAATCGAAAATCTTTCCCTAAAATTTGCATACAATTTCTTTCATAACCTCAAGTTATGGAATTTCTCCATCAAATACATATTTTCGCTGAACTTCATATATGTAATTGAAGGTGTGCGTGTGTTCCAATTGAGGTGTTTAGCATTTGACGCATTATGTAAGTTGTCAACGAACGTGGCTAAGTACATTTAATGCTCTCAAATCTAACGCTTTGATTTGGTTATACTTTATTCAAGTCACGTTATGATTATGGAAAAAACTGCTGACTTGATGACAAAAGATTTGCAAGTTTATAGTCGTTTTATTGTTCTGCCGCTAACGGTTAAAGAAAGCAAATAAAGGCGAAGTCGGGCGAAAAAAAGCAAAAAAAAAACTAGGAAAGCAAAATCAAATTTAAATGTTTGCGATTTGCGGTAGAAACTTGCACACGGTTAGGGCTGAAAGCAAATAAATTTATATGAAATACAAAAATATGCTATGATTGCACGTCTCAATACATACCATATGCAATATATAATATGTATATGTACCGATATGAGTGTATGCATGAACCAATATTTATGCTTGGTGTGTTTTGATTTTGTTTTGGGTGAATAAACTTTGAACACACAGCTTGCATCACCCAACCGCCAGTGTTGTTGTTTATAAATTACTAAGTAAAATAGGTTTCGCGTATTTAGTTTAAATATTTATTTTATTTATTTCTTACAGAAATTTCGTAATCGCGCATTTTATTATAAATCTTTACACATAATATATAAAAATAAACAAACAATTGCCTTTAACATAGCTTTTAGAAATCAGTCCAAAATATATTTTCTTCTACTTATTTAGCGCATTGCATCGCAAAGATCACAGTTCTCTTCATTTCAATTAGTTTCAGTTCATTCCCGCTCGCATGTGTCACCATCTTGCTTGTTTTAGTGTTTTTTCGCCGCCGCTTCTGGGTTATAGGGATGTTCTTCCAAATACTTCAAAGTCTTCAACACTGATTCGGGCACTGGTGGTGGTGTTGGCAAGTGTTCGCCTACCGGCTGGTAGCCGTTCTCATCGGCGATATATGAGACCAGGTATTCCTTGCCGTCATCGGCGACAAAAGCAAATTTGCCCTCAATCGATTCGCCGTCATGCTCTGCATCCACCTTCTTCAAAACGCCGTCTTGTGAGGCTTTCGAGCCATCGCCGAGCTCGTAACTGTGAGAAACAGAGTAGAGAAACGAAAGATGATATAAAATAATTAACTATGTTATTTACAGAGCATTTATTAATAGAGCGGAGCTAAACTGAGCTGAACAAAATCAAATCAAAGAGGGAATCAATTAAATAAGCTTTCATTTCGTATGTAATTTATGAGATGTTCATTGTGCGAAATGTTCTTGTTAACAGAGCTCGAAACAAGTGGTTATCTGAGGCGTTTGTGTGCATTTCAATTTGCCAACACCTTTGGGGTGGAGAGAGAAAAATGCGTGATGTTCCTTCGTACGTGGAATGTGATCTAATTTTTTATGGAGATGGTGCTTGATTTGATGGGAAGATGTGTATATAAGTAGTTTATAGGAGAAATGTTGCGTTGAGGTGCTGGTGCTCATAATTTAAATGTACTTTTTAATAGAATTTTTGCGGATATTTTATGGTTCAGTGTCCAGATAATATATTCTAAGCATATATTAATTTTTGGAGTTATTGTTTTAAGTGATTGCCTGTTCTTCATCAGCAATAAATAAGAGTGTTTCGTGACTTGAAATTGGAATCTATAATCTAATATAAAAGTTAAACTATTTTTTACTCGAAAAGCAGGAAACGAGTGCTATAAATGAGAATACCATGGAAGATAAAGTAGAAGTTATATGACGTTCTAGTCGCTACGTGACTATTGATACAGCAAGGCGAAAACTATTAAATAATGCAGACTCTTAAAAGTTTTAAATTTAAAAGGTAATAAAACTCTGTAAAATCCTTTGTGTTAATAAGGGGAACTGAAATAATAAATCATTATAGCTCTTATATGTGTTCATCTTATAATCGTGTTGCAAATTTGAGTTTACTAATAAGAGAATATGACGAAAATAAGAGGTGAGTACTGGGTCTACAAGGTGCGTTCCAAAGTAAACAGGAATTTAAAAAAAAAAACAGAACAAATGGTTTTATCGGCAAAATCAATGAATTTTATTCAAAATAGTATCCTTCTGCTTTAATACAGCTTTTTGCACGGTCCAAAAGCATGTCGAACGAGTGTTTTAGCTCGTTGCCCGGTATGGCCGTCAGTATGCCGGTGCAAGCCATTTGAATGGCCTCCACGTCTGCATAACGCTTTCTTTTCATCGGCAAATGCATTTTTCCGAAAAGCTATAAGTCGCACGGTGCCATATCAGGTGAATACGGAGAGTGGTTGATTGTTAAAATGTGATTTTTGGTTAAATAATCGGCTCATTTCTCATTTATGTCCTCACAACCACTTTGAAAACGTTAAAACCACTCGTGCACTCTGCTACGGGATAGGCAATCATCGCCAATCATCAATTGAAACGTTTCGGTAAAAGTTTTACCAATTTTAAAACAAAATTTAATGTTGGCTCTTTGTTCGAAGCTCATTATCGCACCGATGACAAGAACATACTGACACTTAAAACGCAATAACTTCACTTCCAATAGAAGAAATTTCATGCAAGTTTTACTGGAAGTCGATAAAGGATAGCAGATTCTAACGCACTAGTCGACATATAGATGTCGCCACTAGAGTTTATTTTGTTACTTTTTTACTATTTACTTTAGAACGCACCTTGTATATCTATATTCGTTTGGGGTTCGACAAGACTGGGCGTAACTTGAATACTATTCAATGTCTCAGTATGACGAACGTGAAAGGGTATTTTGGTAGTTTAACGTCAATTCTTTAATATGGAGAAAATCTCAACCAAAGGTCATCGTATTTTGGTTGAAGTTTATGGTGAATATGCTCTATATGAGCGAAGGTGTTAAAAGTGGTTTGTACGATTTAAAAGTGGTGAATTTGGCTTGGAAGATGAAAAACGTTCTGGGCGGTCAAATAAATTGGAAGATGAGGAACTGGAAGTAATAATCGATAAAGATTGTTGCCAAAGAAAATAAGAGCACGCAGAATCTTTAAGAGTCACTCATGCAGATATGAAAACGTTGAAAAGCAGCAAAATCAAGGAAATTGGGTGCCATATGAATTGAAGTCGAAAAACGCTGAAAAACTATTTCACATGTCCGAAATACTGCTTAAACACTATGAAAAGAAATCGGTTTCGCGCCAGAATGTGAATGATGATGAAGGTTGGATTCATTACGGCAAAACAAAAGCAAAAAATTATATGGGGAACTTGGCCAACTAGCGAAATCAACGGTAAAGTCGAATATCTATGACGCCAAGGTAGTGCTCTGCATTTGGTGAGATCAAAAGAGAGTGCTTTATTATGAGCTTCTACAACCGAGTGAAAGCATTAATAGGAAACGCTTCCGATAATAACTCGTCAAATTGAAGCGATCGATTGCAGAAAAATGCCAGGAATGTGGGACTATACAAGTGGTAATAATTTTCCTGCATTATGCTCGGGCACATGTTGCAAGGCTGGTTTAAAACTAATTGGAAAACAGCGGCTGGGAAGTTTAGCCTCACTCGGCTTATAACCGAGATTTTGCTTCCTTTTTTACAATTTGTTTCGGTTAACATCAGCACAGGGTATCAAAAATTGCCCGGACTCATTCTTGGCTGCCAAGCTGGCGGAGCTCGTTTCGGATGAAATCCTCAAATGCCAGAAGATGGGAAAATATTATTGCTTCAGATGGCCAATACTTTCAATAATACAATTGCACACATTTCTTTAAAAAAATGTACAAATTTATAAAAAATCCTCACGAATATAGTTATAAACCCAGTTCGAAGCAAAATTATTTTTTTCGTATCGAAAAAAGCATATATCCGTGTTTAGTAACTACAAAACTGTACATCATCATGCAATATAGGAATAAATTAGAAAGATCAAATAGTTTTTGTAACTTCATTCCGTAGTTAATTTATGATTAGTTTTTAATAACATATATACATGAGACTGAATAATTAATTGGAATAATGGTTTGATTGTAGAAATTGAAATAAGTAATGAGTCCAAAAGCTTTAATTTATCCACTTTTCTATATCCAAAAATTCTTATAAAGTCCTGTCAGTTTTTTAGTATAATGTATTATAGAAATCTCACACTTCACTCAGACACTCTCTCAGTGCCGAATATATTGTTTTTCTTTGCTCTTAACCAGATGTCAATTTCTTCAATATGTCAATTTTATGCATCCCTGTTTGATTTATTAGTGATGCCGTATTTCACAACATATTCACCACGCTCATTATTTAACTTTCACATTGCTACTTAATGCTTACTGGTAGTGAAATTTTCCATCATATTCCACCATGGCTTCATTGGAGATCAATTTCACTTCTTCCTTTGCTAGCGCCGAGGCAAAGCACAAACATACGACAAATAATAATTTCATTTCAATTTTTGACTAGAAATTCACACAAACAATATGAAATTATCACAAAAGAACGACGGAAACCAATAACAAAACTACTAGCACTGAATTGAGATTAAGTAGAGAAGTTCACCTAAAAACGCGACACGCTAAATGACAAGCTCCATGCACTAATGACAGACTTTTATACGTGCGTCAATGCCATCATCCAGCAGCAGCAGCAGTCGCCACCGCCGCACAGATCACTACGAGATTCCTGATGACAAAATAGCAAAAACAACACGAAAACAGTCATAATAAATGCTTAAAAAAACAAAAAAAAGATACTTTTAAAATTCAGCGACTATTCAATGTCGACGAAAATAAACACATTTTTTAGTTGTATTAAATAAAGTCGTATGTTTATAATAAATAATATTGAACTTGTTTTTCGCTGCAAGAATTTCATGCTTACACATATGCAAATGTTGATATAGGTATGTGAATCGCATAAGCATGCCATGTAGGAAAAATTTGTGGTAGTCACTTTGGTTACCAACAAGCCATTCTGGTTTGAAGACAACCTCTGTTTGTTAAAAAATGTTTTTTTTATCTCTTTAACGGAATAAAATTAACATTTACTACTGAGTTTTTTTTTGCGTTGGAAATGAGAAGTTATTTACCAATGGGCGACGATGTTCGCTTCTGTAATGCAAGTTATTTCCTCTGATTATTTAAGTCTTTTTTTTTGGAATCAACCGGACGAATAGAAGGGTTATGTGAATAATAATATCCCGATAGGTGGCGCCCAGGTCGATTTATTACTTAAAAAAGTGTTTATAGTCTGAGTTGACTAATTTTTGAAAAGTATACCTACTGGTGGTAGAAAGAACTTGTGCGAATTAGAAGAACAACTGGCCCCATGATTAAAAATCTTGGTTGCTTTCCCGATTAATACTGATTTCTATCAATTACGCCAAAGGTAGAAAAAGTTTTTATACTCTTGCAACATGTTGCCACATAGTGTAATAGTTCTGTTCACCTAACGGTTGTTTGTATCAGCTAAAACTAATCGAGTTAGATATAGGTTTATTTATATATAAATCATCAGGATGAAGAAACGAGTTGAAGTCCGGCTGACTGTCAGTTCGTCTGTGCAACCTGTAACTTAAGTAAAAACGAAGATATCTTGATGAAACTTTGTACACATGTTTCTGGGAACCGTAAGACAGTCTGTATGGGCATAATCGAATCATTGCCATGCCCACAAAACGGCATTAATCCTGTACCCGCCCTCTAATGTACAAATCGCTTAAACCGCTAAACCTATAATAACCAAATTCAGACTGGGCAAATATTTTTAGCCCCCTACCAAAAGCAGGAAAATTGGTGTAATCAAAAAATAACCTCGCCTACTCCCCATATGACGGTGCTGCAAAATAAATGCGTCAGAGAAAAAAAAATCTTACACCCGGGATGGTGCAAAAGGGTTTTTTAGAACCGCTGAAAAAATTGGACTTTATGCGTGGCAGCGCCCACATTTAGGTGAAAACCCATATCTCGGGTCTACTATACAGATTTTAATCAAATTGGACATTAACATTATACTAATATTTTTATGTTACAGTATGAAAATTTAACTAAATCGGACTACAACCATGCCTACTTCCCATATAACACAATTTTAAATTCCATTTGATATTTTCACTTTCCAGTTTACAAATAAAGCACAAAGTAATATAATAAGATACTTGCACGAATAGTTCACTTGAAGTGTGCCACCTTGTGACCATAAATTATGCAAATCGAACCAAAGCTGTTCAAGCCCCTAGGTACCGAATATGTGGATCTCAGTGCTTATAGTTGACCTTTTACCGAAAATATTGGTAATGTATTAGATATATAATTGAAATTCGGGGAAAATTGTTTTAATAGTATGTCTGATTGTCATGGGTTGAATCAATATCAGGATTTCCGAACCAACAGACTTTACTCCACATGATTGGTGACGGTATGTGAGGTACCTTAATGAAACCCTGGGAACATTTTATTAGTTTGTGGCATGTTAGTAGTATGTGGTATAGGCAAAAATTTATAAAATCGGGTCAATACTACCCCCAACTCCCATATACTACTTATACATATTTTTGTTATTCTAATAAGTATGCCGAATATGTCGGTCACTTCTGTATATGTTCTCGATTATACCTGAGCAATGTCAAAATCAATCCAATCAGCCCGTCCCATAATTCCCCATATTATGATTTTCGTCTTGCTATTTGACTTTAAATCATTCAGTGTGGTCAAAATGTAATATTTTAATGAAATTAAATGGACAAGTTTTCTTAAAAATAATGTGGTTTAGCGCTGAATTAGAATGGAATTGTTCTATACCTCGGTCTAAATCTCATGTTTTTAATCTAATAAAATTCGATCCACACGAACTCAATATACAATATTAAATTTAGCCTCTTAAATTGAGTGATTTTCACTACATATGTATGTATATCTCATTTGAAAGTGTTTTTAATATAATTTTAGCTGACACGAACTAAAATATAGCAAAAAAACTGATTCTAAGATAATGGCCTTCAATAGAAGTCAAGAAGATTACAAATATATAAATAATATAATAAATACATATAAATTAATATGTTAAATTTTTATATTTTCATGCGTCCGCAATTCTTAAGCAGAATAATATTTTGGAAACTTCAAGGATCGTAGTAAGTGGCTAATGAAAGATTTCGTTCGCAGGGATTTTGACAGACGGTATATTCTTCAATTGAGATACGGTATTGATACAGATGGGAATTAAGCGGATCTTGATGTAATATTTTCAACACTATACACAGCTCACAACATCTAGGAAATATGATAGCCAAGTTATACTGATCCTTGGGTTACTGCTCGTAGAGAGCAACTGAATGTATGTCATTTATTAATATTATTCATAAGGATTCACTGAAATTTGACGTGTCTTTATTTATGTAAATATCAATCAAATATTTTTTTGAGACTCTCACAAACTGTAGTTCAATGGATACAAATTTGGTCTTCCAGACGGCCAAACACAGCCACTGCTGGGTGTGCCTTTTGCCTTGTGTGCTGGAGCGGAATCTTACTGGAAGATCCAATGTTCCCCATCGAAGAGAGTATTGCTAATCTGCTTTATCACGCCTTCTAAAATATTCTCTGATACACTTTTCCCCAGTTTTAGCCCCTTATACACAGAAGGGAAGAGGTGTACCGTCTTTACAGGAGACACCCCACTGAACCCTTACAGCAGCTACGAGTATGGTTACCACGTTGAACCCTTGAAATAATATTTTTTTATGTCTTTGGAAGTTTTCGTGTAGATTTTGTCGTTTTGCTTATTAAAAACTTCTTCAACAGTGAAAATTTGTTCATCTGTAAAAATCATACTTTCGTGGCCATTGACCGCGTGCCACTGAAGAAGCCGCTTGCATCTGTTGAGCCTAACTTGTTTCAAGCGCGTTGTCAGAAGAGGATCAGTTGACTGCTGATAGGCTTTCCTATGGTAGAGGTGGTAGAGGCTAAGGAAATTATTTAGCCGATTCAACCCATTTCTGACATACAGGCATACTATTATCAGAAAAAGATTCTCTCCGAATTTCTAAAGTATATCTCACAGCGAACTCATCCATTTTCACAGAGTAGGTATTGATGTCAAAATGATTTGCCTAGAGCGAATTTTATTATTATAGCTTGAGTGGTTTAGGAGATATGTACTTAAAAATATATATTTCAGCCATAGATGTCCTTGCTAAATGCAATTCGTTGTACTAAATAACAGTCTTGTATCTTATTGTAGAGCTATAGTTTAACCGATTCAATGTCGTTATAAATAATCTTGAATTTTTCAAAATTATATTAGCTATGTTTTTTAGTTATTTCACTATGTGAGAGATTATAATACAATATTAGTATTTTAGATACTAATTGTCAATGCTAGCTGTGTTCGACTCACCAAAACATGGAGGATGGCGAATCGAACATTCATCTAAACTGGCGTGGTAGAACGATATAAAATGGAAAGAAGTTAATAAAGAATTCCAAATGCGATAAGTGTATATTTTTCTTAAAAAGAGTACAGAACTCAAAGATAGCTTCATATTTTCTACAGGGCAGCTATAAAAAAAGTAATTAGCATAAGAGGAATTTAATATAATCAGAATGTGAATTTATTTTTGGGGGAAATTTGAATTCCAGCAATGCGTCAAAATAGAAGCTTCCAGTGGAAGCGCCAGCAACAAATTACAGCGAAACCTTTGTAATTGTATTGTCGAAAATTATTGGCAGAGAGAGACATATGTGTGTGTGCGTGCGTGTTCAAACTACTTTTGTATAAAGCAACATCAGATAAGGCTTAAGTTTAGAAATCAGTTTATCATCGTCGCTATTTATATTTTTATTATTTAGATGGATTAAAAATCATAAAGTGATAGACCAAAACTAAAAGCTTTTATATTGTTAATGCTTTTGACACTTAATTTGTTGTTTATTTGTCGGAGAAGCAAATTTTGACAATTTGCATATAAATTAGATTTTAGCTAATACATACTTGTATTAATATCCATTTTTCCTTACGAATATTAGGTGGTTGCTTGACCAGTTGTTGTTGCAGTTTTTAGTTTTCAAATAACAACATGCTGGTAATCGTAATATGATAATAAATTTTGAAACATACAGTTAACTTCACAGTACATTTACGGTAAATGGCTTTATTTGACTATCGCCTCAATATGGTGACATTCAATTTATAATAAATTGCTCAATTTGATTGAAAGTGAATGCGTCTCAAGTGTGTAGATAATTTAATTTTTAGCACAACTTGTTTGGTCTATTTTGGCTAGAATCAGTTTAGAACTTCTTCATTCGAATACGGAAGGTTTCATTATATTCGCATGAAATTTCCAGGATTTATTTATTTTAAACTGATTTTACTTTAGTGGCAACCGTGGGAAGTTATCTACTTCGATTAATTATAGTTTTAAGGCTTTTTCGGGGAAGTAGAGTTTAATGGCTAAAGAACGGTACATGTATCTTATTGTATTTTTAATAAGAAAAACGATCGATTTTGCGAAATATCGAACACGTATCTATGTGTGTTTATCTTCGACAAATTCCTTTCATTTAAAATTAAAATTTCCTTAATTTGATTTTTTATTTGGAAACTATAATCATCCCTCGCCTTGGCCTTGTCTTGTTACCGAGCAACCTTGGTACCATTAGAGTGTCTTCGGTGGACGGATAGCGGCTCTGAGTGTGAACCCAATTACCATGAAAAAGCAACAAACTCCAGGGTGGGAGTGCTGCTCTTAGGGGGATGAAACCGTCGGCAGTGAAAGGACTGCTACTCCAGTCGTACGTAGTTCAGCGTTAGGCCCAATTAGGAACAGTAGGTCGGAGGATGTCGGTAGAAACCTGCCGGCAGGCGACGTTTTAAGGCCTTCATATGCGGTGGAATCGCTAGCACTAGAAACTTCTACTATACTCATGAGGGGCTCTATTGGGGCCGCCGCTTAGCAATCAAAACCGTTGAGCGCTACAGGGACAAGCATGCTGAACAGGTGTCTGAGCAGCATGTTAACATATTCGAGTGGGCCAAGTGGGTACTGAGTGAATGTGAAAATGATAGGTTAAGACCGGACGCGACTGCTACTAAACCTGCGGTTCGTTGGTCCGAAATGAGTTAACGGTATTTCCTATTCCTAATTTCAACAACGCGTATATGGTGATGGCACTGCTTACCACTAACGCGGTGAATGCTTAGCACCAATGCTAACCCCTAAGTGCGTCGAAGTCTTCAGCTCGCCGTGTAAAGTTACATTGGAGAGCTCCTACTCTGAAGACATCCATCCATTCATCTCTGGTGAACAATGGAACACTCAGGGCATCCAAAAGACGTTTAATCAACAAGGCCCACAGGAGTGAATTAACTGACGATTGGGTGTTATATAAAACGGGACTCGTAATATATAACTCTGAGATAAGAAAGTCCAAAGGACTTGGTGGAAAAGCTCCTACAAAAAGTAGAGGGCTCTCATGAGTCTTTTAGGTTCAGGCGTATTCTTGAAAAGAACCCCATCTCCGTGGGTTATCTTAAGGATGCAAATAAAAATGGGCCCTGAGCTTGAGGCTTACTTTCTGAGAAATACATCGATTGGAGAGGCACCTCTCGGAGTGCTGCAAGAGGATTACGCAGCCTTTGTCGACCTTCCGGATGAATAAAATATGACATGAATAAAACATGACTTGGGCGATCAACTCGTTCAAACCAGTCAAGTCCACGCAACTGGATGGCATAATACCAGCGTTGCTGCATCAGACTGTTAAGATGTCATGCAACTGGATGACATCCGTCTTTGCGAGCTGCATGGGACTGAGATATATTCCGGAGGCCTGGAAGCGAGTCAGAGTTACATTCATCCCGAACGCTGGAAAAAGCTCTCACGTTACGGCCAAGTACTTTAGACCAACAAGCCTTCCCTATTTCTTGCTGAAAACGTTTGAGAGGCTGAATAACTGGCTTATTAGCGGACGTATTATCAGGAGTGCGACACGCTTATTGGTAGGTAGTGGATACTGCTCTGCATTATATCGTGTCAGGGCTTGAACCATAAGGTTTAAAGAATTAGCTGTTGGTACCTTCCTAGAATAGATATATAGGAAGCTTTCAATTAAGTTTTGCCGGAAGAAATCGTAACGGAATAGGCTTGCGCACGTGCTCGGCGAAATGTGAGTAGGGGCACCCCAGCAGGTGGATTTCTTTCTCCTCTTCAATTGATCTTGGTCGTCAACGACCTGCTGAAAAAACTCGGCGATAATGGCTGCAGGGTGATTGCCTAAGCAGACGATTTGGCGCTCATGGTCAAAGAAAAGTTCTTGAGTACCGTGTACGAGTTAACGCAAGAATATCTCAGCGTCTTAGCTTATCAGGCAACCAGGAGCTGATATTTGATCACTATAGCGTATAGCTGTTATACAAACTAAACGATCGGAATTAAGTGCTTGGATGGAAAACTTTTTCATTTTGTGGCGATATCTTTACGAAATTTGACATAGGTTATTGGTTAAGGCAATGGTGGAAAAAGGAGAAATTGTTTAGATCGGATCATTATAGCATACAGCTGCCATACCAATTGGCTCCTCTTCTTGTAAGGAACATTTTCTGTTTGTGAAAAGTTTCATAGCTTTGGTGCAACCGAAGTGACCGTTTTTTCTTGTTTAAATTAATCTTTTGTTAATGGTGTTGTTTTATAGCAAATTATTGCATGTTTTTTTTGTAGTTTTGCATCAATTTTCTCATCGTAGGCAACAAGTTGATTCAAAAAATGTGACATGAAAAATATGTTATTTCAGTATCGCTTTTGAATTTTAAAAATTCTGAAACTTCTTCTAATTTCGTAATTAATAATCATCTAAATACCTTAAATTTTTAATTGTGAGCAAACAATAACCCTGAAATATTATATATAGTAAAAGACATTTTTAATTTTTAAAGAATCTTTAATTCTTCGTTTGCATTTCTTAGTTCATTACACAGATTTGCATAACATTTGCGTATAAAATATACATACATTTAAGAGAAATGTAAATAATCGTTCATATTATGTACTTTACATATGATACAACAACATTATTTTGATTTATACACTAAATTTCCGTACTTTTCTTGAATAAAATATTTAGTAATTTTTTTGTTAACAAAACTTGCATTTTCTTTACGTATTTCCTTTATATAAAAAAGCAACAATATCACAAGGGTCCGAAGCGATAAAGTTCCGGCGACTACAAAAACAATTAAGAACAGCGGAAGAGAGAAAGTCGATAGTGATTAACTAAGTGAGAGTAATTGAGAACTCAAGGGATATGTGCGAAATTAGAGAGATTGTGCTGTGAAAGTGCAAAAAGGACAGCAAAAGAGTAAATTTTGAAGAGAGCGTAGAGCATGCTGGTGATATGTTGTATTTGTATTAAACTTTTAGTAATATTGTGGTTGACTTTCGTAGTGCAGTGAAATGCTGAGTATCATTGTAGGCATAGCTAAGGCGTGTAGGATGCGGTGCACACAACGGAAGTTGAAGCAAACTGAAGTGGAGTGAGTATTTTTTACATTTGCTAAGAGTAGTGGGAGTAGTGAGCAAATGCCAGTTGATAACTACTATATTATTAATATATTTTTTATGTGTTTTGTTTTGTATATTTGATTATTATAGTTTTTTGTTTATTATATTTAACGGTTCATTCAGTCAGTGTACTTAGTAGTTTATTCGAAGCTTTTCTTTGCATACATTTGCACATTAGCTCGCTACACAGTGCTTCAACTCACGCGTGCTATGTTGCAAGATTTCTTTTTCCATACCCTTTGTGTGTGCATAACGCGTCTTTGTATGTGTGTGTGTGAGTGTTTGTAATTGAATTTTTTAATTTTTATACGTATAAGCAACGTGTCCACATTCATCCCTAAGTAAGGGCTTGTCTAAGTATTTACATATTTGAGGCTTTTTAGTATAGTACAGCAATCATTTCGAAGGATTATCATGGCAAAGAAGATATTGATAAGGATATTAGAGGAATGGATTTTTAGAATAGTTGTGTTGTCACATTATTGCAGTGTGTGTATGTGTGCAGTGCGAAAGAAAATCTTTTTGTGGTTTTCGCTTTTCTTTCGCATGCCACTATCGCTTGCGGTTGAAATGCTTAACGACGCTTCGCTGGGGGCAAGCTGAGCAAGTAGTCGAGTGCCCTCTGGATTGCTGGTGGGATTGGTGGTGGTGTGGGCAGATGATCGCCTTGTGGCTGGAAGCCATTCTCATCGTCGGCAGCATAGTTGAGCGTGATCAGATTGCCCTCTGGCGAGGTGTAGCTGACAGAGCCGCGCGCAATGATCACATCGCTGGTGTCCGGTGAGGTGGCCTTCTTCAGGGTGCCGGTCTCCTCGCCCTTAATGCCGTTAGAGGTTTCATAGCTGGCAAAAGAGTAGTTATTGTGAGAAAGAGCAGGTAAGTAAGTATCATTTTGGTAAAAGAATATTAATATTAAAAACTAAATATTTTATAGATATACAAAAATTGTACTTGTCGAATAGCCCAATTTTGAAATCCTATTGTTGTTTAATTGTTTTAAATTCTCCACGCCTTTGCCGTAAACACATTGCAAAGGCTTTTCGTAAGCGTTCGCATATGCTCAGAACAGGTAGTTGAGATTTCTGCTCGCTTTGTCTATTCCAGAAACAGAAAGCAGAAACATGACACTACGCAGCGGCAGGAACAGGTATTTTTTCGGAATTTCGCATTGATTTAATTAAATTATATTAAATTTTGTCAACTTAAGTGTAGCGCAATAACAAACAAAATTAATAAATTGACATTGGGAGATTTGCGGTATCACCTGCTTGGCGACATCGGCCGGCGACAACGATGATCACGTAAAAGGCGCTATAAAATTTGACTGTCTCAATTCCATCGAAGTTGAATTAACGAGTGAGTCGTAAAATTATTAGAAATGTGCTTTAAAGAAAGTTGAGCTATAAAAAATGTTCTAATGTAATTTATTTGTATTTTATGGAATGTTGTTTTGAAATTCACAGCTTCTATTTTTAATATTTGTAAAACGGTTTAATAATTCGGGCAAAACAAAAAAATAGAACTTAAAAAAAAAGAAGAAAGAAAGACTAGTATAAAAAAAAAAGAATATTTTCATTACTGGAATGTCTAGTATAAACAGATTAATACGGCAATAATTTGGACCGAATAAATTAACTTGTTGAAGATACTATTGGAATAATGAAATTAGAGCGTTATTAAAGTCTCTAGAAAACTATTAAAATAAAATTGAAAGCTTTTCTAAAAAAACGCCCCCCTGAAAGCTGAAGTCAATCTTATGTATGAAATGAGAAGTCTCTTCCAATACTTCATCACTTGTTCATCTAATATCGGCATATAGAGGTGAATCCCTTATTATATAACCAAGTCGAAACCGTTAGTTATTGTTCTTCTTGGAAAAATTTGGTTTCTCATAAATTATATTTATAATATAGAAAGCCGAAAAATGACAAAGATAATGTTATATCTAGCTAACAAGTAAGTGAGTCACAATGTATCACTCGCTAAGCGTCCCAATTTTCGAAAAGCGGTGAACTAATAAAAAATATATTGAGTTCCTTTAAAAGAGGTTAAATTTGTACTTTTTGGATAAATTTTTGGTAAAAAATTTTAATTCTATATTTGGAAAAGTTTGTGTGGGTCAGAAATGTTAAAAAAATTTATAATGTTAAATTTTTGGTCTAAATACTATTCTAATAGAATCTTTTAAAAAAATATTTCCTAGATTTCTCAGGAAAAAAAACAATAATAATAAGTCATTAAGGCAGGGGAAAGTAATATTAGAGGTGTGGTCAGAAAAAGGGTGTATAATATATATTTAACCCTGAACTGCGTATATTAAACCTGAAATGAAGTTTGTAATAACCAGAAGGAAATGTCACATAACCTATAAAAAATATGTATAAATAATCAGCATGAAAAGCTGAGTCGATTTAGCCATGTCCGTCCGTTTGTCTATGTGTCTATATATAGGCGAATAGTATCTCAGTTTTGAAGATATTGACCTGAAATTTTGCTCAAGTCCTTTTCTTCAAGAACCTGCTTATTTGTTGGAATCACCGATAGTGGACCACTTAAGTATATAGGTGTCATACAAACTGAACGATCGGAATCAAGTGCTGGTATGGAAAAATTTGGACGAGATATCTTCAAAAAATTTTCAATGGATAACTGCCCAAGGCATCGGTAAAATTTACGAAGAAATTAGCATATAGCTAAAATAAAAACTAAATGATCGGAATAATCTTTTAAAGAGATTTCTTCTAGAAATTTGGCATGGGTTATTGTTTAATGCAATGGTGCAATCTTCGAAAAAATTGTTCAGATCGGATCACTAAATCATATAGCTGCCATATAAACGGACCTATCTAAATTAAATTCTTGTAAGAAATCATTTGTATTTGTGAAGGATATTATAGATTCGGCGAAACCGAAGTAAACAATTTTTCTGGTTTTGATTAAATTTAATTCAATAATTATTTTTGTATTTAATTTTCTTTTATTAACTTGAAATTCAACAATAATTTTTATCATCTTTTAGTCTGCGCTTAAAATAAACAAGTTAATGTGAAGCTGAATATCAAGAAACATGCAGAACAATGCAAACAAAGATAAGATAGTTTTAAATTAGCTTAAAACACTTGCTGGTATATTAAAAATTGTTTATTACGTTGAAAGGAAAACCGGAAAAATGTTGCTTTTAAAAGCTAGTGTCTGGCAGATATTTATTTATTAAAAGTATCAAATGTTGTATTGAATTTTGATGCTAAACCTCTGCTCAGAATAGAAAAACTTGTAAAATCAGTATAAATCTACCACTTTATAGGTCAACTAGTGCCTATTTAGCTATTTATTTTCGTAACTAATAGCACAAGTATAATTTATATATTGAAAAGAGAATAGCCGTGGATTATTAAAAAACTATGTAAATTATGTGTTGTTCTTGTGACGTAAAAAGTATGTTGTGCGTTGTTAGAATTTTTTAATAAACTACAATGTTGTGCTTAATGCCGCTCCTTCACTGAATACTACTATAGTTGATGGAACAACAAAAAAAAATCTGAACTTCAACTTGTTTTGCACTCGTAAACTCAGCTAGAATTATTTTGAATTCATAAAATGGCGTCAAAATACACATGTGTTTGTTTATGACAAGCTGCAACTATTAAATTAAAGATTTAGCAGTTAAGTATAGAAAATATTGCAGATAAATTAGCGTTTCATTGTATAAGCCAAACTTGTGTGGCTGCGTATTTGTGTTAAGGGGCGTTGAGTAATTTATAAATTTATATGGTCGGCATTAGAATACTGACTATGCTAGTAAAATTGTCAAATATTTATTAAAAATGGAGGAAAGCCAAACTAAACGCTTTGTTTCACGGAAATCTAGTTTACCTTTAAAGTTTAACCTTCCACTCTAAGTTCTTCCTTCTAAATGAATTCTGACAGCTTAAACGATTTATGAGGCAAATCATTAAAATTTTGCATTTAAAATCTTTTAAAAGTTTTATAAGCTTTACTTGTTGAAAAATAACTTAAGCCAAGCTGATAGAAGCGCGCTCCAACGCTATATATTTTCTGATTTAATTTTTTTTATTATGAAAATTATAAATTTTTATGCAATATGCATATTTTGCACATTTAAATTCCTAAATTCGTAATTCCAGTAGTTAGTTAGTGTCATAACTGCTTATTTCAAGCATTGCCAGCCTGATTGCTTGCACAAGTTCGTGTCTTAAGTCTTTTGTTTTGAAGTAAACAATGAATATGCTAGCGCCGCAAAGTATGCAACGCTTTTGGCGCTTCTCTACTCACTTGTAGTTATAAGAGCCGTCTGGTTCAATATTCGATTCTTGACTAACAATTGATGCACCTGCCTCACCCTGCGCTTGTGGTGCAGCAAACACTGCGGATGCGGCGCAGCCGATCAAAAGTAATGTGATTTGCTGGAAGTAAAAGAATTGGAGAACTTTTATTGGTTATGTATATAGAATAAAAGTATTCTTATAGATAATAATGCTGATTTTGAATAATTTAAAAATTATTAGAAATTGGTTAATTAAATAGAAAATATTGTAGTTATGACAATGATTGTTTGGATGTGAAAGATTGCGCTATAAGCAGCGAATTTCCTTCTTAATAAAATGCGAAAATGTGATTCAGAGACATTTTTTACTGATATGATATAACCATATACCACTGAACCGTAGTAAAAATCTTTATTCCTAGTCTATAACTTATTTATAGCTGACAAGATGTACATATAATAACCAGCAGTACTTCATGTGGGGATTTGAAGTTTAAAAAAAAAAAAAATTGGTTTACCAAGAAATTTATTAGTTGTTGTTGATGTTTCAAATTACTTTATAGTTACATTTCATTTTACTGTTATTGATTGCAAACAAAAATATTATTATATAATAATAATCAACAGAATACAAAGGCAAGTTCATTTGGGATTTTTCGAAAAAATTTGAACATTGCTCGTATAAACGTTTTACTATTGTAATTTTGAATAGAATTTGAATTTTTAACGAATTTTTCATAAAACTTTCTGCAATTCCTTAATTTAAGTGTATATTATTTAAATTGAAATGTGTAGTTTATTGCCCCAATTGATTGGATTTCTTCATAGAAAAATGTGAGGTAATTTGCAGGGAAAAATGTGTGCACGTATATATGTTTGTATATATGTATGTATACATCAGTACTATCATTTTACAATAACTTGAAAATGCACGTTTTTCATTAAAGCTCAAATCAATTTTTAATTAAGTGTGCTTCTAATAGTGGATATGAAAGTAAATGTTGGTTACTGATGGCAGAAGACGGCCATAATGCAATCAAAAGATAGTGCTCTAATAAGAAACATGGTGTTTTTAGTATTATTTGCAGATAATATTTTAGAGCAAACAATTAACTTTTATAGTTAAATGTTTCAAAATGAATAGATTTAGTAATCAGATTCCAAAGGGTAACTGGAAAATACTGGATATAGGGATACTGTGATAAATTGGATAGTTTTGCCGAAAGCCGAAAGTGCAGAGAAAAATCGTTGCGTTGGCTTTAAGCAGAGAAAATGGTAGATTTGGTCCTTTTTAAGAATCTTCGGTTGAATAAAAATTTATTTATTTTTATTTTTAATTTTTTTGAATATAATATTCGATAAATTTAGCATGATGATGTGATACTAATTAAATATAATAATAATAATAAAAATTCAGCGATTAGCTTAGATTTGGAATTATTGTCTACTTAATAGCCGAAATACATATTTGTATTCGTATATTAATATCTTGAACAGGGTATATCAAGTTTGCCATGAGGTTTGTAACACCCAGAAGGAAACGTCGGGCCTTACAAAATGACATATAAATGATCAGCGCGATCTTCACAAAATTTTCATAGATTACTTTTTGTAGATGGATTATTGTTATGGTCGGATCACTATATATAGCTGACGTACAAACTTACCGACCAAAATCAAGTTTTAGTATGGAAAACTATTTTATTTATGAAGGGTATTATAGTTTCGGTGCAATAAAATTAACATTTTTCCTTGTTTACATTCAAAAAGCTAAATTGGGCTATATATGGTGACTGGTAAAAGTATTTTTTTTTTTTGGATAGAATATTTTGTTAAAGTCATCAAATTAAGAAGGCCTTGCCAAACTGCAAAATTTCGTAAAATGCATTTCTCTGCATTGTAGATTCTTTCATAATGTGTGAGAATAACGAGAATATTAAACAATCCCTAACAGCAAACTCCCAATTGTCTGAATGAAGTTGAAATTAACTACATAATTAACTTTGAGTTATCTAAACTTTTCGTCATACACACACACACATATATTGCAATCAAGACAATCTCCACCCTTAATTACGACGGCATAACAAATCACCAACTATTATTGCACAATCGACGGTAGTTCAATAGTTAATCAATATTTTTTCTATTTTACAGTTTTCAACATTTTCCAGTTGTATTTATGTGGCGGTTTTCGTAACACAGTTGCCATCGTGCAAACATTGATTTATTTAAGTGCCAACAACAACCCACAATTACAACTTCTCAAATCAACAGCGACTTGACAGCTCATTGCGATGCCATTTTGAACACCTTTATTTATGAACAAAATCTTCTCCTCACTTATTTGCACTTATATGCAATTGCATATTGATAATGAGCACAAGTGTGAGTACTCATAGGCACAGTGTAGTATTTGTTTTAGTTTTTTTATATACAGACATATCAATTTTTTATTTTCCGGCTTTCAATGGGCAACAGCAAATCGCATAGTGAGCTTAATTACAGCAATTTGTTTGTTGTTGAATTTTTTGTTGTTGGCGGTATTTTAAAGGGCGTACTTGTCGTGCGGATATTTCAATTTAAGCCGCGCATATAATTTGCATTAGTAAGCGCATTATTTACTCGAGAAGAAAAGCCCTACCGGCTTCAAGCTTTGGAGGCTTTGTCAATTTTTGCATTTTTAATTGTGTGTGTATTTAGCGCTCTTTTAAGCTTTTTTTATTATCTTATAGCATTAACTGCCTGCTGAGTGCCCATTCACAGTGGCTATTGTTGCGGGAAATGCCATTCGAACTCCAAGTGTCTTGCAATTGTTGCCTATATGTGCGAAAACTTGTTGTTTTTGTTGCGCAAGTCTTGCATGCAAACATTTATATTCTTTAACAGATTTTTCTAGAGTCTTTGCACATTTTTATTCGTTGCATTCTTACAAATTAAATTATTGCGCAAGTTTCATATAGAATCAAGTGCATAAATTAAAAATTAAGCAAGCACTTGTTCGTGTGCCGTTGTTGCATTGTTTGGATAAGCAACGACCGAAAAATGTTTAAATATTTGCACAAAATATTTGGTGAAAATGTCGTTGTGTTCAAGCTGCGCCCACAAAAAGGTCCAGCACATGTGACGGCGTTGCCACTGCGGCAATGACAAGCAACGCTTCGAAGCAGCATATACATGCATAAGTGTGAGCTAATTTTTTACCATTTTTTTTTAAATCTTTTATGGTTGTTGCTTATTTTTTGCGACGTGTCTGGGTTGATATTTCACGAATAACCACACGCCAACATGTCTGAGAACAATGTTTGTTAAATATATGAAGACATGTAATATACAAGTATATGTATATATATATATGCATATATACACGCTCAAATATATATAGATTTCATTGTTTTAGTATAGTCTGCGCACAACGGTGCCATCCTCTGTCATTCAGCTCCTCTTTAGTGGCTCTGCGCCGCCTGCCAGTAAGCTACTCAGCCACGGCGCGGTGACTCTTGCCACCAGGCGCTGCTGCCGCGCTGATTTTTATTTGCTATTTCAGTCACTAATCGCTGCTTTTAGCAGGAAAATTGTGACAAAATTGCCCCCGTTGAAAGCGCCTGTTGTGCGCGCCGGCGCATTTGACCTTTTCACAGACTTTAGTGGTATGCCAATTGCCGGTGGATTGGCTGGCACACCAAGCTGTAAGTTCACCTCCGCGCCTTAAACGCTCGCAATCAGATAATTGAGCAACATTTAATTGTTGTCGTAATGTAATGAGTGTGGCAATAAGCTCGGAGGCTCCTACCGGGGTTGGCACTTCTGCTGCCATTGTTGTACAGCAGAAGAAGAAGAAGATGCCACTAACGCCAGCATTTAGCTTAATTTGACTTAAGTGCGGCTGTAGGTGTGTCCAATTTTCTTGATTTCATTTTAATTGTTTTCGACCAGCACAGCGTTCGATAATTTATACTTTTCGAAAGCTTCATTTCCTTATCGCATATAAAGCTGCTGGTTGTGGCAAAGACGTTAATGCTACGACCACTATTAAATGTTTGAATTTGATATCTGCGTCTACTTTACTTGTCTACGTTACTTTTGCCTTTTGCTGTGGGCGTTCGTGTTCACAGTTCATAAATTTTACTGTTTTTATATTTTGTATTTTTCATTTTTTTCTTGTCTGATTTGCTTCACCAAATGACCCCACGCTTTGTGGCATATATTATCTTGAACTATGGTCTTGTGGCTGTTGTACAAAAATAATTCTTATTTGAAGTGTCAAATAAACCTGATGGGGTAAGTTTATTTGACATTTAGCTTTGGTTATTTTTCAACTGTTATTTGTGTTTTTTTAACTTTATATAACTTTTTTTTTTTTAATTTTTGTTTTGACTAAACGCTTAGTTTTTCTAATGCTTTTTTATATAAGTTTTGGTATTAAATAAATCATTTTACAGGCCTTTCAATATATTATTTTCAAAAATTATAAAAGAGACCTCAAGTTTAGCAAGAGAGGGGTAGTCGTGCCTTTCCAACCAATAATGTTTGATAAGCAATGCTACATTTATTCACAGCATATTATAAAATACTCGCTATATATTCAGAATGAAATATTAGTATTATTTTTAAATTAAATTTTAATACATATAAATAATATAGTTAAGAAATCGGAATTTTATCACATGATAGAAACTTTTTCGAAGCATCTAAAATGAACATAAAACGGAAGGTAAGGCCTCAATGGCTCCTATATTAAAAATACATTTCTGGTTATTTTAAATTTTAAATAATTTCGAACTTCACGCAAACTCAAACACATAAGTTGTCTTGAAGGATTTTATGAGCCTTGATAGCAAAGCAAAGCAAGAAAAATTAATGATAACTGACTTTCTTGAGTATTGAAAAATGAAGATCTGCCATTGCAATCATCGCTTGCATAGTTCCTTCCCTCAAAATTTGGACGGAGTCGCCGCGTTTCTCATAAAATTTATACTACTTTTAACATAGAAATTGTTAGTTATTCAATTGTCTTTTGAATAATTTAATTGACCGATTTTAATTTTATTAAATCACAACTTTTAGTAAATAAGTAATTAAAGAGGTTGAGTACTAATTTGGCGAGAGCGTCCTAAGAAAAAATTAAATACTGCAACTGAAATATCAAAAAGGACAAAACCACAAAAAAAAATTAAAATTTAAATAATTATACAACAATTATTAAAGTATATATATTGTGTATAAATTTATATTTTTATATGTTAGATTATAATTTTCTTACATAATTTAGAAACGTGATAAAGCAATTCTAAGCGAGCAGGTATGTATCTTAGCGCGATCAATCTGACCAATAGTTAATTATTTTATCTTTTAACTAAGTGCTTGCAGTTGAAAAATAATAAATTCTAAAGTTTTATTATCATAAATTATTCAAGCGTGGCAATTCATATATTTGATGACTACCATAAGGGCGTTGGGAAATTAGAATGATATTGTTTCTTTTCTTGTTTTCAACTATAAAGTGTAAATTTTAAAATAATTATAAGAAATATTTGTTGTAATAATTATAATAAATTAGAATATTTACGCTACGAATATGAATTTTTTGCGCTTTTTCAATTTAATTATTTTGCTAATAACAATAAATTATTAAATACTCGCCCCATTGATGTCGTAGAAATAATCGAAAGTTTAATCCGTTTTAGTAATTTTGAGAACTGTAGACAAACAGTTTACTTAATTAAAAAACAAAAACAATAATTTAAAACATTTTTAGCTATAAATTGTTTTTTTTCTTTAATCGCCTAATTTAGTTGAAATTATGCAATTAGAACACGAGCATTTAACTGTTACTCTTTTCGTTCGTAATAAATGTGATTAGGTTTAGTTTAGTAAATGTCTCTTGATTTACAATTAATATTTTACTAAAAATTTAACTTATTAGGAATCTTTTTGAATTTGACAAGTTTTTTTAAGGCCGGATTACGCGGTTACAATACCAACCCAAAAAATATCTTAAACAAGTCATAATCGGTATATAATATATAATATGTGCTGTTGGTGATTGTATCATCTACATGATCACTTTGATGATCTCCCACCCTATTCTGTTGAACTTTAACGGTTTTGAAATTGAAAGTATTGGTGAATATCTAAATTTTTCAACATGACGACTGTCAATTTCCTTGAACTTAATTAAATATGATTTGTATTTATCAAGACAAAGAAGATACATAAAAATTTTCCAATTACATATTATTCACATATGAAAAATACATCCCTAATAGTTCAACTAATGTGCGTTATCAAAAACCAAATCTTTGTTTTTTGTAGTTACCCTTCAGAACAAATTAATTCGATTTTGCTGAATTCTGACATTTTGTAGTATAAATTGATATACATATAAAAATTTTGAAACCCCGCAAAGCAAACTCTTTGAATAGCACCATAAATGGTTATAGCGATAAAGTTAATTATCAATTGAGTTAAATTTTTACATAGTAGAAGATTAGGAAAAAAAATATTTTTGAGTGCTTATTAGTTTGGCCTACAAAATATTTGGTAAATAAACTACCAGAGCTGATTACTTGAAAAGCCATTAATGTTTTATTACTTCAACTGTGGTATGTATATTTCACTATTACCATCATGTCGATCATTCGTCTAATAAAAAAATTCAAATCGCGGTTGAATGAATCTCAATCTACATATATATAATATGAAATTATTATTCATCATCTATGTTATAAAGTGTTTCAATTCTCTTAACAAATTTCTTCTATTCGATGAATATTAAATCTTTTAAAGCTTAATGAATAGAGTAACATTCACAATTTTATGTGAAGATCGCCGGTCCTTAAGACAGTAACTGCTTGAAAAACTTCGCTTACAAACGAATATGAACACTGATGCAAAAAAATCGTTTATTAGTTGCAATGGATTTCCAATATTGTAAAGGAGAATCCTCTTTGCTAATGAAACAAAATAAACGATTTGTTCCTTAGAGGATCTGAGCGTTAAACTTTAAGTTTCAGAGCTTCCTTGAACGATTTGTACACTTTTTATAATCAGTTAACAAAGTGGAAATTCACTTGCAAATTGATTTTCGAGTATTCATATATATTTTACTTCAAAAGCTTATCGCTTATCGCTTATCGCTTAATCGCCACTTACAATTTTCATTTTTTCACAAATTTTTGTCAACACTTGAACACTGTAACGTTATCCTTCGACGCACTGCGTTTGTTTGTAACTAGCTGTCTAACGGTGCAAGAACCCTGCTGTTGCTTGTGGTTAATTGCACAAATGCTTTGTTAATGATCTCATAGCTGGCTGGTGGCGATATTTATACGCGCATGCGATGAGATGCAACCGGGATGAGTTGAGTTTTAGCTGAGATAAGCTAAACTATTTGCGCTGCACATGGAGTGTGGAGAGGTAAGAAGCAGCGCCAGTATGACAACCGACAATAGCGACAGCGGCAACAATACACAACCAACAACAACACACCCATTGTACTCGCAAATAACTGAATGGGAAACATTGCTAGAAGAGTCATCAGCTCAGATGTTGCCAATGGTGGCGATGAAGTCGCTGCGATATGTTGCTGTTGGTGTTGTTGGCTTCCGCTGCAGTCGACTGCGAAGTCGGAGTTGCAGCTGCGTTGCTGAAGGTAAGCAATGTAAAACCCAGCAAGATAAGTTAAATGTAAAGACAACAACAACGCGCCAAGTACTGTAAAGTATTGTATGTTTGTTGGTGTCAAAACAACAACAACAATAACAAATAGACAGCAAAACGAATAAAATTGAGTAAATAACGATATGTTGTTACCGGTAAGAGAAGCAACGGTGGCTGCGGCTGCAGCGAAGCGCACTGACGATAACGTCGACGCCGACAGCGCTGCTTAGCTAAACAAAAGTGCAAGTACAAACCGTTTATTTTTCATTTTTTTGTTTGAGTTTTGTTTTTGCACTTTTTGTGAATTAACTCTTAGCTGTGCCTTTGAAATTTGTCTTCGGCAGCGTCGTAACTCAACACTTTGTCGTTGCGCTTAGTGCTTTTTCAGCAAGTTTTCAAGATTTATTGAGTTGAAATTCGGTCTGCGGATGTGCGCACCTAAGGCCGACGTAAGGTTTTTGCGGTGACATGCTGCCCTAGCGCCTCAGTGCCTCACTGGCTCGGTGCCTCGGTGTGCGCTTTGTTGTTGGGCGATTTGCAACGACGGCTAACATATGTATGAATAGATAGGTGGGTATGTTAGCATGTGTATATGTATGAGCGCACATTTTTCACCCATTGCCCTGTCTGTGGAGCGCGCTGTTTGCAGGTTTTTTGGCTAATTTCATCTGTGTGACGCGGCGCATGCGCAACCTTAAGTTGATGAGCTGCCATATCTGATGTGGTGGCGTTTTGATGAATGTGTAAAAGCGATAGGAGCATTTTTTCGCTTACACATATTAACACTTCACCAGCTATGTTTTTTTGTTTTTGTTTTGTGTACAAAATCGCGTTTATCTAAATTGCACTTGCTCTGTCTATCTTCATATATAATAATATAAATTATAGAAAACGTGTTGCAATTATTGAAATGAAATTCGTCATTGCCAATAACAATTAACTGCGCATATTTATTAGGTGACCCTGCTGGTTGGCGGAAATTTCCGTTTACTATTAAAAAGCTACAGCATTTTTGGTCTAAATTTCTGTAATTAGTTTTTTCTTCATAAAAGTAAAGTAATCTCAGGTTTCCACGCCAATGCTCTGTGGTAAACAAAACAAATCGAATTTTATATTTAAATCAGTTCTAATCGGTGTGGCGCATCACAATGATGAGTTGTTACCGTAAGAGTTTTCTGATGGTGTGGCAGCCGGCAAATCGCCGGTGTTAGTGGGTTTATTTTTGGCTTCTTTCGAGGTATTGCGCGATTCATTACTCGTCGTTGCTGCCCATTTTCTGTTTATTACCTACTTTGCACGCCCGCTGCTGCCATTGTCAGGTCAAAATGTCAATTCTGTATTTTTGCTTCGTTTGCGAAATGTGTGTTTGTCGTTGCACAGTGCGCCAAGACTTAGTAAATAAAGGCGAAATAAATATATTTTTTAATTTTATATATTTGCAACCTAAGTACTTCTCTGAATATGCTTTTTAGAATTTTGCTTATGTAAGTTACTTCTATGTAACTATTGAGACCATATATTCCATTGTTTTTTAATGATGACAATTAATTATACCAAAGTACCAGTGTTTCTTAGTATAACTCTGAAGGAGTAGAAAAGCTGAAAACGATTCAGTTTTTAAATTAAAAAAAAAAAGAAATGTAAGGCAATTCAAGTTAGCTATATTTCGATTATATAATATATGGTATACTTCGTCCTGCCATAAGTTCTGTTACAAGTTCAGGCCGCTATAAAAACTAAACTATAATACAATTTATAATAAAGTTAATTTTATTTATTAATGCATATATTAGATAAGCGATGTACAAAATTAATTCGAAATGATAATTGTTTCACACAATCCCTCAAACGATTTGGCCAACGAACAATAGCAGCACGCACTGTTTATATTGGTGTTGAATTTTTTTGAGACTCTCCAAATTTCTGTGGGTTGTTCAACAGGCCATGTGATCCAATTCTGATCACAAACTGTAGTTCAATGGATTAAAATCTGGACTTCCAGGCGGCCAATCATCTGCAGCCATGAAACCAAGAATATTGCTTTTAAGCTGTTGCTAGGTGGTTTTTGGCTTGTGCGCTGGAGCAGCATCTTGATGGAAGATCTAATGCTTTACAGCAGACGCCCCACCAAACCATTACAGCAGCTGGATAGTGATTACGTTTAACAACAACGAACATTTTTTCATCTGTAAAATACTTTCATAGCCGTTGACCGCGTGCCACTTAAGAAACCGTTTGCATCTGTTGAGCGTAATTTGCTTCAAAGGCGTTGATCTGCATCAATACATGCTATTCATTTCCCTTAACATAATTTTTTGTTTTCTAACCAGATTTTTGCGAATGTGTTCATAAACAGCTTTTATGACTGAATTAGTTCGAACCATGTAAGGTCGATCAATTCTCTTTCTGTCGTTAACAGTAGACGTTAGGGAAAAAAGGCCATTGTGCGGTAAACAAACATTCTCAAAAAAATAAAGTTCTTGAGGTGCTCATAATCATACCCATATCATCGTTTGGTACCCTTATAATTACCAGATGCTCTATTTATGTATATGATGGACTTGGTGATATCGTTTGAAATATAAATAACACTAAATAATACCTTATGTTTCCTTAAGCTAAGTCTACAACTGCTTTCGATCCGTCATTTATATGCTTGCAAACTTGGCGTTGCTCTCTTGTCCAAAAATTTACATGTAAAAACAACAACAAAGTTAGGGAATAGAATTCGGTAAAAAAGAGTATGCAAATAGTTTTTTTTTGTTGTTTTTGAAAACTTATGACTTGAAATAAATTATAGTTGTTTATAGAAAATGTAAGGTTCGTACTAAGAGATTACTAAAACTTTTTTTGTCGCGGAAAGAAGAATTTCGCCATCAGAGGAAGAAACGAAACACATTTGTGCGTGCATCAGAGAACATGTTAGGGCAGGGTTGAAACGCAAGAGTTGCTAGTTTATTTGAACTACTGGTATAGTTGGTTCGATTCACTACTCTCCAATGCTTCAAGAGTATTGATCGGCCGAACTCATAATTCAATTCGAAACTGTAAACGACGTGTTAGAGTCATTTCAAACCAATGGATGTAATGTGTTCCTGTAAGGGAACTTTTTTCTGCCAGGTAATCTTGAAAGTGTATTTACCAATATCTCTGAAACAGAGATACCAAGTGCCATCTGAGATTCAAATGTTGAATTAATACGTTAAGTGGACAAAATTTTTAAAATTAATGATATTTTTAGGATTGACATTTATTTCTGTACAATTTTAAAGCTTTATAAAGCATTTAATTAGATATTATGTTATATTTTGTATTTTAATTCAATCAGTAGACATTTCAAAGGAAGTTCTTCGGGTTAGTGTGGTCCCAAAGCTTAGTTTTTTCTTAGTCAAAGTGAAGTTAAAATATATGTGAGTATAATTTATATCCTGTCCTGTACTTATCTCACCACGAAGTTGCTCATTTGTCAGAACCACTATAGCATATAGCTGCCATTCAAACTGAATAATCGGAATAAAATTATTGTAAGGAACCTTTTTTATTTGTGAACGACATTATAGATTCGGTGCAACCGAAGTTAAAGTTTTTTTTTGTTTTGATTATACTTTTGCACAGGAATGATATTGCAGAGAAATCTGCCAGTATTTTAAATGTCAAAACCATTACCAATCCATAATTATTCAAAACTGACAAGGAATTATTTTGCACTTTTTAGTGCCCCAGGCTCAAAGGTTTAAGTGGTAAGTGGTTCTATCAGGGCGGACAGGAAAACAGCCATATAGTGCCTGCACCCATCACTATATTAGGGTAAACTTTAAGTTGTCTATGCTGTTCACTCATGATTGATGAAATTTTATTTATGTGTTAGTTACAATTTACCCACTGCCCCACTGTGCAACATAGCAATATAGGTATTTATCTATAACTAAATTTCTGTTTCGGTGTATGACTCTGCATCGCTGTCAAATGAAAATGAAAATTCGCGCAAGCAATTGCGCCAAGAATTTCGTGACAAGATTGCCCCAAAAGATTTCATTCAATGCACTGTGAGTATCTGCTTTTTTATAGCGTTTGATTGCTTTGTTCTTGCGGGTGTTGCACATTGCAGTGTGTGTTGTTGTTTTTTTTCTAGCGATATTTTTTTTCGTTTTTAGTGGGATGGAACGCTAAAAGGCAGAAGCGTTGCATTTGATTTGACTTCGATCGGGTCGGAGCGCAGTATTGTTCACAGCCATTGTCTTAGACACATTGGTATGATGGGAAATTCGGAATTAAAAAATTAAAAAAATTTTGTAAATAAATTTTACTTTTTTTATAACAAAAAGAGTTAGTGTGTAGGCGAGATTTAAATTAATTTTAATAATTAAAAAATTTGCTAAAAAAATATTGTTTTGTTTCCAAAAATATATTTAGGCAAATGATAAATCACTTACATTTTTTTTTCTTACAAAATATTTTGACAATTAATCGCCGCACATTGTTATGTAATTAGGTGCGACAAGTTGATAGCTCCGACTTTTTGGACACCAGCAATATTTTTTATTTATTTTTTTTCGAAACACATACATGCATATAAATCTGTGTTCTTGCTTGTGTGATGACATAGTTAAGTAAGTACAAATGTCACTTGTTTCTTGTGTTTGTTGT